AATGTGCACATTTAGTTGAATCTCTAAGAACCCACTGATGGGGCTTTCCAATCTGTAATTGAGCAACTTTGCTCGTTTCTCTGAGAACAAGCTAACTGGCTTTCCAATCTGTAATTCAGCAACTTAGATTGATCATCTTTATTTATATATCAATGTTTTGAATGACTGATCAGTAATAAAAATGCATTGATGTGAAGAAGACACATTGATGTGACGGTGTTACACTTTGTTCCTCGCTTGAATGGGTAATTGTTATAAAGTCGATCATTTACTAAAATTTACCTGATTTGTCTCTTTTTTTTTTATAGGAAATTGCAACTTATTTGCTGAGCTTTGAGTATCATCAAGAATGGCTGACGACAAACCAAGTTCACAGGTGAAACATTTTTTTAAATTATGAGTTCAGATCATACCGTTTCTATGACTTTCTATAACCTGCTCCTGGCTGGACAGTTAGACAACTGTGAACCACAAGCATTCATATTACGCTTGTTGATTTTTTTCTCTTTTTTTTAATTTTTTTATTACCAGCATTTTGATGTAACATTTTGCAAATTTGGATGTAGTTTTCTTTATTTTATTTTTTTTAATTTTGAACCAAATAGTTATCATTTTTTATTTGATTTCAAAAATACGGAAAATTGATGCTGGTTTATTACTGCTCAACTGATTGAGAATTTACTGTTTTTGTAACAATTAGGTGATGCATCACCCGTTTTACTTTTAAGTATGTATGCATGTATTGTGGGATTTATGAGGATTTTACCGAACAAGTCCTTCACCTTTTTTTTCAGAACAACAGGTAGTTTCGGTAGCAATAGCATTTGTTTTAAATTACTTCACTAAGCATTGTATAATCTGATGAAGACGTTTGATTTGAAAAACAAATAAGTAAACAAAAACTAGTAAAAAAAGTGATATGAATATTTATAAATGTTGAAATGATGAGTAAGGGCTTTCATGGGATTCACAAAACATTATTGAAAAGCTGCAGCAAAATAATGTACATTGATTTGAAATTGACGTTATTTCCTCACATCTTGTGCACACATGACATGCTGAACAACACTCAGTTCTTGTAATCATGACAACCGTTATATTTGTATTGAAACATGACTCAGACTTTCATATTCTCTAACAATTTTCATATTCAGATGAATATATTATATACTTTGGTTTTTAAATAATCGCGTGTATACCTTTGTTCATAATGCAATGTTTCTTTAGTTTCTTTTCAATGTCTTAAGTATGTATTGCTGATATAACATCTCAATCAAAACTGATTAGAGATCTAGAATTGAACACTGCCCTACTTTAAGAAGCCGCATATCCTCTGCACTGATGCAAAATTTATTATCTTTGAGTTGATCAATTATTCATTTTATTCTTAATATTAAAAGCCATTTATTTATGGAAAGCTGAACTTTAATTGAAGTTTTCTTTCCTTCCATTAATAATTTAATATTCAATTATTTCTTTATGGAAATTTACGCAGATGGATATCCTACATGGTAGTTATTAATTTTCACAAACAAGACTGACATTTAAAAGTATAAAGGTTTTTGTTTTAAGAGCCTGAGCAAAACTTGCCCTGGAGAGCAATGCCATCGATAATGGCTTTCCCTAATGTTTTGTGTTCCAGGCTCTTTAGCCATGTCCTTCTCACCCCCACCCCCGCACTTCCCTCTCCAATTGACTCTCAATATTACTGCCAATCAACAAATATAGTTTTCAGTCACCTCCAAAAATAATCATTTGTTTATAATCATAATAATCATGGTCTAAATAATGGAAAGATAATCATGATTACTTGAGGCAATATTAATTATTTATGATATTGAATGGAATGGAATGGCATCAGCACCTAATTGTTATGAGCAGCGCCCCCAGTGTCAATATTTGAATAATTTGTTTAGTCTGTTGAGGGCGCTGTGGTGTGAGCAAGATTTTAATTGTTTTCAGACCTCAGAGTGGTTGTATGCTGCTGGTCAACCGAAAGAAAGTGAAGTATCGAAGAGATGGACATTGTTGGAAAAAACGAAAAGATGGAAAAACAACTCGGGAAGATCATATGAAACTAAAAGTGAATGGTGTTGAGGTAAGTCAGTCTCGCTTGAAATTGGAATGTAACAATTAAATTTTAAAAAAGTAGGTATTTTGAAAAAGATATATTACCGGTAATTATGTTTTATAGAAATATGAGTATTGTGATTACATTGATAACAAGTCAAGTTAATAGTTAGAAATACAGAAATTTGAAAAAAAAAAATTATCAGTGCTGCATCTTTAGCTCCACTATCGACTTTGTCAAGCAGAGCTTATCATATGAGTTGTTGTCCGTCATCGTCCATTGTCGTCCTCGTCAACTTTTTATGTTTTCAACTTCTTCTTGAAAACTACAATTCGTATTGCTTTGATACTTGGTGTATATGCACCTTGGGAAGACCTCTCTTAGGTTTTTTCATTTCATGTTGATATCTTCAATTCTCAAATTTTGGTGAATATTTTTGTCATTTTTGGTAAAAAGTGATATTTTCAACTTCTTGTTAAAAACTGCAAGTCTGATTGCTTTGATACTATACATATAGGTACTACAGGTAGACCTCTCTCAGATTTGGGCATTTCATGATATCTTCAATTCTTTAATTGAAAAGTGCATTGCCAACAGCGGAGCTATCTCAGGCGAGAGGCTGCTTGTTATTTCTCTAATTCTCATATGTCGTTTCAATTCTTCGGTGATCATGTGACTAATAAATTTCCAGGGTTGACACATTTAGAGCTCTGCAATGCAAAACTTTCCTTAATTTGCTGGGAATAGCATTTGAGAATTTTTTGTGTGCAAAAAGTTTTTTGGTGACTATACCTTTTCATCTAGAATTCATTATAGTGCCCGACATGTTTATATTTGAGATAATAATTGGTCAGTATTGTGTAATCACTGGATATTATGTGGTATCTTCACTGGTATTCTCTTCTTGCAACAACTAATTAGTGATTTTTTTCTTCCTTAGTGTATATATGGATTGTATGTACACTCAGCCATTGTACCAACATTTCACCGGAGATGTTACTGGTTGCTTCAGAATCCGGATACTGTCCTGGTGCATTACCTGAATGCACCTTCCCCGGACGACCCCAAGTCCAGTGCCATGACGATATGTCCATGTCCAGATAAGAAAGGATGGACAAAAGAGTCATTAATTGCTCAAATTAAACCCATGTGTAAGTGTGCAGATACAGTTTGAAAAAAAGTGCAGATACAGTTTGTAAAAAGTGCAGATACAGTTTGAAAAAAGTGCAGATACAGTTTGTAAAAAGTGCAGATACAGTTTGTAAAAAAGTGAAGATACAGTTTGAAAAAAAGTGCAGATACAGTTTGAAAAAAAGTGCAGATACAGTTTGAAAAAAGTGTAGATAACAGTTTGAAAAAAGTGCAAATAACAGTTTGAAAAAAGTGCAGATACAGTTTGAAAAAAGTGCAGATACAGTTTGAAAAAAAGTGCAGATACAGTTTGAAAAAAAGTGCAGAAACAGTTTGAAAAAAGTGCAGATACAGTTTGAAAAAAGTGCAAATAACAGTTTGAAAAAAGTGCAAATAACAGTTTGAAAAAAGTTCAGATACAGTTTGAAAAAAGTGCAGGTACAGTTTGAAAAAAGGGCAAATAACAGTTTGAAAAAAGTGCAAATAACAGTTTGAAAAAAGTGCAGATACAGTTTGAAAAAAGTGTAGATAACAGTTTGAAAAAAGTGTAGATAACAGTTTGAAAAAAGTGTAGATAACAGTTTGAAAAAAGTGCAAATAACAGTTTGAAAACAGTTCAGATACAGTTTGAAAAAAGTGCAAATAACAGTTTGAAAAAAGTTCAGATACAGTTTGAAAAAATTGCAGATACAGTTTTTTACAGAATGTTAAACTCTGTATGTTTTGATGTTTGATGTATATTAATGTTGTAATGCACAAAAACAATACAATTCAGAGATGAAAAGAAATTCATTCATATTACCAGTACATGTACATTTTATGAAAAATAATTGTTTTCACCTTTTTCGTGCCAGTGAATTTTATGGCATGGTTTAAATGATGGTTAACTTATTTTTCACTTGTTTCTCTATTTCTTGTAGTTAATGGAGTGCAGTTACCTGTAAATGGAAGGGAAACAACTGTGGTAAGATTGCTTGAAACCAAATAGTTTAATTAGCATATTGATTAACAGTCATATACTTGTGTATGATGCATTTACATTACCTGATTTTAGTACAAATCCTTACTTATAAATTAGTTTAATTACCAATTATGTCATTTGCAGAAGAAATTCAATAAATTGAATATAAAGAGTGAAAAATAAACTAAAATTTACAAATGTACTGTTAACTTTTTGATAAATTAATACTTTTTTATTTTCAAGAAAATATTGTATTCAAACCTTGCTCTGTAATAATCAAAAATATAATATAAACTTAATATTATATACTTGCAGGATAGTGCAGTGGAAGGAATTGTGCAGAAATTTCTCGGCCCGAGTTCTTCCAAACAATCTAGTGTCTCATCGTACCCTGCATGTGTGTGCCATGGGACAACCCAGACAGTCAAGGTTGAGAAAAGGCCAACACGAAGGGCGCCGTCTAAGGCAGAGGACAAAACAAGTACAACTGCTGGTAAGTTTAAATTTAATTAAATTTTAAATGTAAAAGAAGTCAGGAATGCATGACAGATTCAACTTTTATAGTCTTGTAGTATCAATTGCCCACATAACCAGGGTTATGTCATCATATGGAAAATGGGTACATGCCTCAAGACTGCTACTATTTTGGTCATCATAGCGAAAGAATAATGTGATTGAAAATGAATCTCATCTTATTAGTGAATCATGGTCAGCCAATAATAATACAATGGTCATGTCATCTAATTAACATATTCAGTGTTTCTCTGTAATTTTATATGTATTTGTGAAACATAATCAATTCTAGCAATCAAAAATGTTGTACTTGGCCAATTTTAACTTGGTTGCCAATGACAACTAAGAAAAGTTTTTAACTTGTGCTGTGTTGTATCACTATGTAAGGTTATAGTCCTTGTGAAAATGACTAGACAAACCAGCAGATTAATATAACTGATTTGGGAAGCTGTGCTGCTAAATATTTGTTTAAATGGTCTGAATTGGGGGAATGATAATACGGGACTTGATTTGTGTTATATTATTGCAGTAGGTGGTAGTGTGTCATCTGCCAAGGGTTGAACTGTCTATAATCACATTGCAAGGGTTGTATTGACTTCCTGTGCTTCCTTTTGTCTTTCAGTGACAGGCAGTATGAGTTCCATGACATCATCAATACAGCCACTGAGTTTCACCAACATTGCATTCCCACTCCAGCAGACGATGACAACAATCCCTGTTACAACAATCACTGGCCGAGCGGTCTCCACAATACCAGTAACCACAGTAACCGGCCAGCGGATGACTACATTACCAACAACTTACAGACAGATT